GTGATGGTCAATCAGGTTCAGCCATAAGAAGAAACACACATTAAGTTCAGAAAAATAGATTTACTGTAGTCATAGGCTCAGCACACTACCTGGGGCCTGTAGGTGGTCAGGGGGCAGAAGATAAGCCCGGCAAAGCCTTAGGGAGCCATGCTTTATGGGCATTCCTATGAGGAAAAGCAGGCTGGCGGGGTGAAGAGTTCAAGATTGACTAGGCTGCTTAACTCATCAAGCTCTGAGTTGTTGCATTGTTCCTCGTTGCCCTGGTGTCTGACTCTGGGATGATTAAACATTCAGTCTTTTGGGGTGCTGGGGCCAAACTGCTGAGGTATGGCTCTAGGTTAGCTGATTTGCATATCAAAACTGCTCCAGGCTGGACCTTTGTGCTGCCTTCCAGGCCGGAGAGGCTTTTGAAAACGTCAAGACATCATGATGTCCAAAACAGTTTTAAATATTTACGGTCCCTGTAGTTTCTACCAAAACATAAACTCCATGAGAAGAGGAGCCTTGTGACTTTGCGCTGCTCTGGATGCGGTGCCTGGAATGGAGCCAGAGCTCCAATGGCTGTTGAAGAGACGTTTGACAGGTGAGTGACGGAACGAATTTGAATCTCTCTGCTCTGTGATCCCAGGATTACTGCTGGATCCACTATTTCACTTTCTTCAGCAACAAAGAGGAGAGTGAGGTCTGCTGATTTTATCAGAAAAGAGAAAAATCGTTTTGTTTTGTTTTGTTCTTTTCATTTTTATTATTTTTTTAAAAGATTTATTTATTTATTATGTATACAGACGAGGGCACCAGATCTCATTACAGATGGTTGTGAGCCACCATGTGGTTGCTGGGAATTGAACTCAGGACCTCTGGAAGAGCAGTCGGTGCTCTTAACATCTGAGCCATCTCTTCAGCCCCCCATTTTTATTATATTTCTTGAGATAGAATCTTGCTGTATAACTGTGGCTGGCCTCGAACTCACAAAAATTCACCTGCCTCAGCCCCCTGAGTGTTAGGTAGGATTAAAGGTATGGACCACCACACCTGGCAGGGTTTTTTGTTTGCTTATCTGTTTGTTTTTCAAGACAGGGTTTCTCTGTGTAACAGTCCTGGCTGTCCTGGAACTCACTTTGTAGACCAAGCTGTCCTGGAACTCACTGAGCTCCACCTGCCTCTGCCTCCCAAGTGCTGAGATTAAAGGTGTGCACCACCACCACCATGCAGCCTGTTTTGTTTTGTTTCTAACACTGTTGCTAGGAATATTTTAAACTTAAAAAAAAAAAAGGTTTAATGTAATCCCAGTTTTAACCCACCCCATCTTGACTGACACATTTTGTGAGAACAAGTTCACATACAGTAGAGAATTTGAGTGAAGGAATTATGTCAAAGGAAAGAAGATGAAACATTTTATTTATTTAAATATGAGTCACCCATCAAATTTTTTAAAGTTTTTTCCATTGAAAATAGATTTTTTTCCTACAATACATTCTGATTACAGTTTTCCCTTCCCCTGCTACTCCCCATCTCCTCTCCCATCAGGATCCACATCCTTTCTGTCTCTCCTTAGAAAACAGACAGACATTTAAGGAATAATAATAAAATAAAATGAGATTATAAATAAAAAACAAATCAAATCAGCATATGACAAAACAACCAACCAAGAAAAAGAGCCAAAGAAAAAGCACAAGAAATAAAGATCGATGCAGAGACACACACATTCACGCACTCGGGAGGAATCCCATAAAAAACCTAAACTGTGGTGATATTGTGTTCCCCAAAATATTGTGCACCCTAATAAACTTATCTGGGGTCAGAGAACAGAACAGCCACTAGATACAGAGGCCAGAAAATGGTGGCACACACGCCTTTAATCCTATCACTTAGGAGGCAGAGATCAATCTGGATCTCTGTGAGTTCAAGGCCACATTGGAAACAGCCAGCATGGTGACCCACGCCTTTAACCCCAGGAAGTGAGTCTTTAATCCCAGGAAGTGATGGCAGGAAGCAGAAAGGTATATAAGGTGTGAAAACCAGGAACTAGAAGCTTTTGGCCTGGTTAAGCTTTTAGGCTTTTGAGCAGCAGTTCAGCTGAGATCCATTTGGATGAGAACTCAAGAGGCTTCCAGTCTGAGGAAACAGGATCAGCTGAGGAACTGGCAAGGTGATGTGGCTGTGGCTTGTTCTGCTTCTCTGATCTTCAAGCATTCACTCCAATACCTGGCTTCAGGTTTGTTTTTTATTAATAAGACCTTTTAAGATTCGTGCTACACCGAAGAAGTGCAGATCAATGCAGAGACACACATATTCCCATAAAAACAAACAAACAAACAAAAAAACCCAAAGCAGAAGCCATGCTATATACTCAAAGGACCTATATGGTACAAAACAACAAAACAAACAAACAAATGAAAACCATCCTGACTTAATATTATAAGACAAAGAACCTCCAAAGAGACCACTGAGTTCATTTTGTGTTGGCCTTCTAGAGCTGGCCATGGGCCTACCTTAACAGTGGTTTGTTTTCCCTGTGAGACTCCCTTGAAGAAAATTAATTTTCATTTGCAAGTGGCTATCAATTGGAGATAGCTTCTCAGTTAGGGTTGGGGTGTGTATGTGTGTGTCCACGTTTCCTTTCAGCTCTAGAACCCTATTTAGTGCAAACCCACGTAGGCTGTGTGCATGTTGCCACAGTCTGAGTTCATATGTGCATCGGTGTGTGTAGAAGGCCTTGCTGATTCTTTTGTGTCCTCCACTCCCTCCGGCTCTTGCACTCTTTCTGCCTTCTCTTCCAGATTTCTCTGAGCTCTGGGGGGATGAGGAATTTGATGGAGACATCCCTGTTAGGACTGAGTGTTCCAAGGTCTCTCACTCTCTGCACATTATCTGGTTGTGGGTCTTTGTATTTGTTCCCATTTGCTACAGGAGGAAGCTTCCATGATGGTAACTAAGTGAGGTACGGATCTATGAGTATAGCCAAATGTCATTAGGAGTCAGTTTATTGCTGTGTTTCTTTGCCAGAATAGTAGTATTTGGTTTACCCATAGGACCCTGAACTATCTACTTTAATTTTTTTGGTCACCCAAGCAATGTTGGATATGAATTCCATCTCATGGAGTGGGCTTTAATTCAAATCAGATATTGGCTGGTTATTCCCAAAAGCTTTGTTGCCACTATTATACCAACATAGCTTGTAGGCAGTTCATTCTTGTAGACTGAAGCGTTTGTAGCTGGGTTGATGTTTCTCCTTTGCCAGTGTGCAGAGTACCTTCTAGTACCATGAATACTAGTCCACAAAGGTGAAAGCTTTAGGTAGGCACCAACTAGATCTCTCTGTGTTCATTAAGTTGGGTAGGTATTGTCTTGGGCAATAAGACTTTGCCATCAGTTTGTGAAGAGCCACAAATAGCCTTGACAACAATATCCTGGGTTATTTGAGGGTTTCCCATGGGACTCCTTTGGCTGAGAACTCGATTAGATGTAACCCATTCCTGGTAGTAGAAGCTTCATTTGGTGACAATAGATGTCCAATTGGGGCTCTGTCTCCCCCATTATTTGGTGATTTCATTTAGATTGCCTTCATATATGTATATATTGTAGGAAGCTTCTACTGTATTAGGTTTCCATATGACTCCTTAAACAGCACTTAGTTTTAGCTGCCTCTCCCTGTATGCCCTTCCTCACCCCCTCTTCCCTCCCCTTCTCTGCTTGATCCTCCCATTTCAGTCCCCCTCCTCATCCAAGCATAATTATCTCTTCTGTGTTGCCTTCCTAAGGAGATCCATCACTCCCCCGAGTCTCTTACTGTCTACCTAACCTGTAGTTACATAGATTATAGCTTGCTTATCAATGACTTTACAGCTAGAATCTACATATGAATGTGAATACATACCAGATTTGTATTTCTGTGTCTGAGTTACCTCATTCAAGATTACTTTTTTCTAGTTCCATCCATCACTTGTGAATTTCATGATTTCATTTTTTTAATGACTGAGTTATAGTCCATTGAATAAATATGCACATTTTCCTTATCTATCCATCTATTGATTGGTATCTAGATTGTTTCCAATTTCTGGCTATTATTAATAGAGCAGCAATGAACATGGTTGAGCAAGTGTCTCTGAGGTAGGATGAAACATCTTTTGGGTATATGCCCAAGAGTGGTATAGCTAAATCTTGAGGTAGATCGATACCTATCTTCCTGAGGAATCACCACACTGATTTCCACAGTGTTTAAGTTCATACTACCACCAGCACTCATCAAATTTCTTAAACAGTTTCACCTCTTGAGCAGAGAAGACACACAGAAACGTGTAGAATCTTTAAGTAAACTACTGATTAATCATTACTAAGTAAACACAGCTATGTGTGCATTACCAGGTCAAGAAGTGAAATACTGCCAGCAGCCAGAGCTCTCTTGCTTTCTTTCCACACTTCTGCTTCCTCCTTCCCCCTTAAAGGGGCCACCACTGTGAAATGGAACACCATAGATCAGTTTTGCTGGGCTTTGAATTTTATATACATAGAACCAAATTGTCTTAGTTCGGGTTTCTGTTGCTGCAAACAAAACACCGTGACAAAAAAGCAAGTTGGGGAGGAAAGGGTTTATTCAGCTTACACTTCCACATTGTTGTCCATCACCAAAAGAAGTCAGCACAAGACAAACAGGGCAGGATCCTGGAGGCAGGAGCTGATGCAGAGGCCATGCAAGGGGTGCTGCTTACTGGCTTGCTTCACATGGTTTGCTCAGCCTGTTTGCTTATAGAAGCCAGGACCAACAGCCCAGGGATGGTACAACCCACCATGGGCTGGACCCTCCCCCATTGAACACTAATTGAGAAAATGCCTTACAGCTGGATCTTACTGAGGCATTCCCTCAACTGAGGCCCCTTCCTCTCTGATGACTCCAGCTTGAGTCAAGTTGACACACAAAACCAGCCAGTACACAGATCGACATGTACTTTTTGGTAATTGGCTTCATTTATTTTACATTATATTGAAGAGAATCACCAGTGTCATGTGTAATAGTGGTTAGTTTATTTCCATGGAGTAGAGCATTCCATTCTATGAGCAAACAACCATTTATAACTCTGCTCCACTCTTGAGGGCCAGCTGAACTGCTTTTGTCTGGAATTGTCACAAATGAACAGTGGTGCGATGGGTGTATTTTGTGTTTGTCTTTAATGAACTCGTGTCCTCATTTCTGCCAGGAATGGACTTTGTACAAACTCTAAGTTTAGTAGATGTGGCAGTCGTCTCCTCCCCATGGCTGCTCCGTTTTCAGTCCCGTCAGCAGTGTCTATGTAAGAGGTCTGGCTTCCACACGCTCACCAGCACTTGGTACGGCCTGACAGCATCCCTTCTTGTTCTTGAGAGAACGGAGTCGAATCTCATTCTGATCTCCATTTGTGTCCTTGAAGGCTGACAGAAATGAACACCTTTTCATGTGTCCACTGATCACTTGTACTGTAGTTTTTGTCCAGGGAAGAAGGAACTTTAATTGAGAGGATGCCTCCATCAGACTAGCTTGCAGGCAAGTCTGTGAGGACATCTCCTTGATTAATGATTGATGTGAGAGGGCCCAGCCCACTGTGGGTGGTGCCATCCCTGGGCAAGTGGTCCTGGGTATATAAGAAAGCAGGGGAAAGAAAACATAAGCAAGCTGGTAAGTGAATTTGCTATGGTCTCTGCTTCAGTTCCTGCCTTGAGTTCCTGCCTGTTTATGATGGACTATAGCTGTAATCTGAAATAAACTCTCTCCTCCCCCAGCCTGCTTTGGGTGGTGGTTTATCACAGAAATAGATAGTAAAGTAAGATACCACTCTACCATCACAAAGAACCTACCTGTCCAGGACTTTGCTCGTGTATGTTCAATTGGGCTACCTGTTTTCACTTGTGTAATTCTTTTTTTTTTTTTTGTCTTTATTAAGGAATTTTTCTTCATTTTACATACCAAGCTTAGATCTCCCTCTCTTCTTTCCTCCCGCTCCCCGCCCCCCCAAACCTTCCCCACCCAACCCACCCCTCCTCTGAAAATAAGGCCTCCTATGGGGAGTCAGCAAAGCCTGGTACATTCAGCTGAGGCAGGTCCAAGCCCCTCCCCCGTCATCAAGGCTGAGCAAGGTATCCCACCATAGGTAATGGGCTCCAACAAGCCAGCTCATGCATAAGGGATGGATCCTGATCCTACTGCCAAGGGCCCCTTAAGCAGATCAAGATACACAACTGTCTCAATTATGCAGAGGGCCTAGTCCAGTCCCATGCAGGTTCCACAGCTGTCAGTCTAAAGTTCGTGAGTTCCCATGAGTTTGGTTCAGTTGTTTCTGTAGATTTCCCTATCATGATCTTGACCCTCATTGTTCATAGAATCCCTCTTCTCTCTCTTCGACTGGACTCCTGAATCTCAGCCTGGTGCTTGGCTGTGGATCTCTGCATCTGCTTCTATCAGTTACTGGATGAAGCCTCTATGATGACAGTTAGGATGTTCACCTATCTGATTACCGGGATAAGCCAACTCAGGCACCCTCTCCACTATTGCTAGTAGTCTAAGCTGTGGTCATCCTGTGGATCCCTGGCAGCTTCCCTAGCACTAGGTTTCTCCCTTTATAGCTACATGAGCTATGACTCTACTTACCTACTGTGTGTATTACTTACTTTTCTCATAGCTGTGATCAAATATCTGACAAAAGCAACTTCAGGGAAGGAGCATTTGTTTGGCTCACAGTCAGGAAGTACAATCCTTCATGGCAAGGACGGCATGGCCACAGGAACGTGAAACATCTGGTCACGATGAGCAGGCAGTCAGGAAGCAGGGGATGAACGCTGGTGCTCAGCTCACTTTCTTCTTTTCATCCAGTCCAGGGACTGCCATCGCCCTCATCCAGGATAGAACTTGCTACCTCAGTTAAGCCTCTCAGGAAACACCCTCATCAACACACTGCATAGCTCTTCCTGTGGTAAGGCTAAACTCTGTCAGGTGGACAATGAATATTAATCATGACACACTGTAACTGTCCTTTTTACTTAACCTTAATCTTTTGATGAACTAAAAGTTTTGATGAAATTGAACTTATAAACATTCTTTATCTTAGTAGATTTTGTCTGATTTATAGTGTTTGCCTACCTAAAGGTCAAGAACTCTCACTTGCACAAACATACCCATTTTCTTGCCTCCTCTTCCTGTCCCTCTTCCCTTTTCTTTTCATTTCTTTCTCCTTTTCAGAGGCTATGGCACCTGGTGTTCTAGGAAGTCTCTTATCCAAGCGTCTGTTGCCATGCAGGCCTGATGTTGCTCAGTTTCTGAGATCTGGAACATTCTATATTTTAAAAGTCTTTGTATTCAAATCTACAAACCACATAGAAGTTTTGTTTTTGTTCTTGTGTGAGGCAGGGGTTGAGTTTTGCTCATGTAGATCCCCATTTAGCTCAGCACCATTTGCTGATAAGATCATCTTTTCTGAACCTCTCTGAAATACTGCATTTGTCAAAAATAAATACCCAAGTTTGTTTGGATTCTAGCATCCTCCACAGGTTTCTTTGTTGTACCAATGCCTCATTGTCTTAATTATTGTGCCTTATGGTATATATTGATATCTGGTTGAATGAATACTACAACTTTGTTCTACTTTAAGGAGATCTTGGATATTTTGAGCTAGCAAGATGGCTCAGCAGGTAAAGGCTTGTTGCCAAGCCTGATGACCTGAGTTTGATCCCCAGGATCCATATAATGGAAGGAGAGAACTGATTCCTACAAACTTTCCTCTGACCTCCACAAGCCCACTGTGACACACATGTCTACACACAATAAAGTTTGAAAAATCAAATGTCTTCCTATTTGAGTGTGATTTTATACCACTCTGGCTGACATCATGACATCTTTCCTACATGTCTTTCTCTAAGCTGCCTGAAGTGTGGTCCTCATAAGCACCCCAAGCCCTGCCTGTATCTGGTACACCTGCAGTTCTTCTAAGCCTTCCTTCTTTATCTCCAGATGTCACTTTCCGTGTACAGCTGACCACAATATCCTGCAGGTTTTTCTCACTAATAACCTCTATTACTTCAAAGGCTAAAGTATATGTAATCTTACTATTGCTTTAGGTACTGTGTTCTTTGCATGCGCTGCCTTACTTAATATTGCCAGTACACTAAGAAGTAGGTGCCTTTTATTCCCCTTAAGGACTGTTTCATTTTGACATAGGACTTGGAGGATCCAAACTTGATCTGACCTGAAAGCCTCCTCCCTAAAGACTGGTTTTCACTGGTTTTTGTCCCCAGAAGGTGATATGCAAGCTTCCAAGAGAGGGGGGCAACCAATACTTTTCCCCAGCTATGATTCCTATGAACCACAATACAACCAGCATGGCAGGACATTTCTAAGGGTGCCATTGTGGTACACACACAGTTCTCTAATTGAGCTTAAGAGACCCTTAACAAGAGGGAATGCCTAGAGAGGGAAGTGGCGTTCCCTCTTCAGCTGGGGAAGGGCAAGACAAAGATAAGAACTCACATCTCTCAAAGTCCATGCTTCTCTTACACACACTTCAGTTCTAGTGCGTAGTAAATGCTAGTTAATCTTCCTGTTGCTTAGTTTGTTTCCTTCCTGTTTCCAATAAGTTTCTTCACAGGCTCATCTATGATGCTAGCTGCTTCTACTTCTCTTTCCCCTTCCCTCCCTGATCCAACCCAGTCTTACTTCCTCACTAAAATGGCTCTCTATATGCCACCTACCACTTGCATTCTGCCATTTCTGATAGCTTGACTCCTAAATGTCTCCTAAACACTAATATGATAATAGGGGTTGGTAGCCAGCCTGTGGCACCACTGGAAGGTGCTGGAATCTTTAGGAGATAGGGGTCTAATAGAAGAAAATTAGGTCATGGGGGTGTGATGCTGAAGAAAACATAGGGACCCAGACCCTACTTTATGCTTTTAGACCACCACCCTGAGGTGAGCAGTTCCCTCCATGATGATTATGCACTCACTGCCACAATGTACTGTCTAAAGGGATGCGGCTGTGTAACCAGGCACCGCAACCTCTGAAACTCTGAATCAACGCACATATATAACTTGATAATCTCAAATTTGTTTTTGTCACAGCACCAAAAAGCTAATATAAAATATAGCACACCTATAGTTTCCTGTTTCTCTTCTCTAGCATCTCAGATAGCCCCCACCCCACCTCTGAGGAAACCATGTTTTTAGTTGCTCCTTTCTTTTGTATCTGTCCTTACACGCCTTTGAATTTTCTTCTACATCCTATACGACTCGGTCTCATTTCCTCTATGCTGGTTCAGCCCTTCTATCTGAACAGGGGGTGTTGTGCAACCTAAGGTTTGCTCTTTGACCTGTATTTCCATCGACCCACACGTCGTGAAGTGACGACACAGCCACATGGCCTTGCATCTCATGTGTTTTCCCAAGTTTCCAAAGTGAATAATTCTGAAGTTGACTTCTCTCCTCAGCTACAGACTTCTAACTTCCTCCTTGACCCCTCCTTTTGGATGTTTTCTTTGTTAATTCTCTACAAAACAGAGTCTCAGCCATGGATTGAAGCACTCAGTATGGATGGGAGAATTAAGTCCAAAATATTAAGGACGGAAAGTGAAGGAGAAGGCTACATCACCATCCAGCTGACCCTTCACCATCACCTACATCACCGTCCAGCTGCTAGGAGACCCTGCAGGTCACCAGAAGCTTGGAGGGGTTTTGTTTGTTTTTTGAGACATTAGCCCTTAGAGTAGTCCTTGGGAGAGGGGAAAGTGACGAACTTACCTGTCCGACTCTCTCTCAGCTCGTGTCTCCTTGTTCGGGACTCTTACTGAGAGCTAACTTTATACTTCCTATATGCACAACCAGCCCTGCACTGCCTCTCAGGGGGCCACCTTGTGGAAATGCCTCCTGGAAATCTGAAAATGGAAGAAGACTGGAGCTGCTGTAGCAGTGGCCTGGCAGGAGAGTGGACAGGGGGCAGGCTGATGTCTGTGGCCCCATGCAGGTGTTCCTTCGGCTTGTGAAAATGAGCATGGCAAGCAGAACCCTCCACTCCTTGCTTCCAGCCAACCTGATCTGCCCCACCACTACCACAAAAGACTGCCGCATCTAAGGAAATGGTACTACTGCTGCCAGTGCTAGCCTGTAGCCAAGAAAACCACGGTGACAGCCTGTAAACTGGTTCCTATGCTCTCCATCTTGGCTTCCTTTGATGCATTCTTCACGCAACAGGGCAAATGCAAAAATGGACTTTCTGTAACTCTGTAGCTCTGTCCATCTCTTAGCTGTCCCCAAAGAAAGGCTTTTCCTGTCTTCTCTGTCAAAAGTCACTACCCCTCTTCTGACACTCTTTATTTCTTGTTCTGGATATGTTGAGAAGGAACCCCACACTCAGGCCAAAGCAGGTAGGTGGGAGGTGCCTTCACTGTGTCTTCTTGATCCCCAGCTGGAGGGATTATTCTGCAGTTGAATGCAGCAGCCGCAGAGACACATGCCATAGGATACAGTATGTTTCCTGGGTCTCGGCTGGACTAAAAACTGCTTCTAAGAGGAAAGAACAACTTGGCTTTAATGTTTGTCCCTGGAATCTTTGTTCCCTGGGGGGCTGACCAAGACAAAAGAGAGAAGCAGTAGAGCTGTCCTCAGCTCCTTTCATGACTGACCACCATCCTGTGTCTGCTTCCACTCCACCCAGAGCTCTGGACTCCCCCACCCTCCCTCTCCTCCTATGTAGCCATTTGCTAACCTCAAAGCCATCCGTTTTCTAACACTTTAGATATTTTTTGTTTTATTGGACACACATTTTTATAGTAGTTACAAGTTTCCAGGTGTGTGTGTTGTGAGTTTGTGTGTGTGTTTGTATGTATTGTGTGTGAGTTTGTGTGCATGTGTTTGTGTGTGTGTATGTATTTGTGTGTATGTGTGTCTTCCATTAAAACTTACAGAAAATCCTATGATGCAGGAATTTCTAAGGAGTCTCAGAATTGTAGGGACTTAATCAAAGTCCCATCAGGTTACCTCCCCCAAGGTTATACAGCTCATCAAGGACAGAGATGAGAATCCAACCCAAGCAACCATGTAGAATCAGTGCTCTCAATCACCACAGTGTAACTTTCCATCATTGACAAGCATGCCTTGAATGTTTATGATCCACAGGGTCCTGAGTGTTTTAGGAAGAAACAATGCCTTTGGGTGAAGGAAGAGAATGCTCACTCACAGGTGACAGGTGGCATATACAGTGGCAGTGCCACTACCTTCTGTAAGTTCTCTAGCCACATCAGATGCTGTCACCAAGACAAAGGATGCAGAAGACACACAAGGCAAGGGTTAGTGTGTCAAACAGCTCTAACTTGAGAAGACCACTCAAAGGACCACAAGTAACTTCTAGGTAAAGGAATTACTCTGTGCTTAATGTTGTGTGAAGGGCTGGACATACATCGTATCAGCAATACTGCAGAACAGGCAATATTAACTCTCCCTTTAGAGAGCAGGAAAATAAAGTAACAGTGGAAAGTAACTAAATAACTTTTTAAGTCATGTGACTTGGAAACAGTCAAGCCCCAACTTGCTCTTTATCCAACATTTGGTCTCTTCCTGCCTAACAACATTGGATAAAGAAAGGTCAATGCTTCTAGTTTTGTCTTCTTTATTCTGAGCCAGACCATCAGTTCTGCAAATGGCAAAGTAGGAAAAGAATCTTCCATTTCCTCCCCCATGAGTCAGCTATTCCCCCAGACTTTATCATCTTCAACTGTGTGGGGCCACGTTTTGTCTAAGTACCCTGATTAACAACCTAGGATTTAACCTTTATTTTTATTATCCCATCTCTTTTTTTACAATTTGCCAAGTCTTGAAGATTCTCTAAAACACATCATGAGACAGTTACTTCTGCCCCTCCCCATCTGACAGTGCCTTCCTATGTGCGTTCCACCTCATGCCACTGTCCACCTCCATTTGGAAGGTGTTTGCTACATTAGGAC